GCCAGGTCAAGAAATAGCCTTTCTTAAATTCATATTTGATACTTGTGGTACAACCATTTTCAGCAGGTAAATAGTTAACTCTTTTAGGAAAACGTATTTTCAAATCACCCTATTAAATCACCATACCTAAAGCTAAGTTGGTGTTTTGTAAGAAGAGCTGATTAAGGACATCAAAACTTGGCTGTTAATTGTTTACAGCCATAAAGTACTTCTATATTTAGCCAAAACCACATTTTAAATCACTGCAGTTTATTTTATAATCTGAAATGAACAGCAAAAATATGGGTGATATTTTAACTGATTCATAAATATTTAAAAGTCTGCTGATTTTCAATCATGTCTTTCTGCAATCTGTTTCTCACAAATACTGAACTTAGTGACAGGTTATTTTCAGTAAAATAGAACAATTATCATTCTTGTATAAGAACAGTTAAAATAGCACAGAAAATCTTTAAGGTTAGGAAGTTCCTTAGTATGATTGATTACCTGAAAGGTACTAATGTATTTCAGAAGCATGCTAGAGCAGTATTTCTATTGCTTCTATTAAGAAATTCTAGCTTCCAGCTTGCAGTTTGATGTATGTTTCTTCATATGTCTCATGTTTTTCATTGTTATCATAAGGACAAAGCAAATTTGACAGCAATATTTACTACTATTCTGCCGAGGCAAGAATATTTGAACATTCTAGAAAAGAATGCTACTAAGAAAAGATTACTTTAATAAATACTATACTATAAAAAAATATCCCAGAGGGCCTTTGCAGAGGAAAACTGGCATACAGAAAATTTAGGTGTAAATAGAAACTAATTCCATTGGCAAGTTTTTACCCATTAGGAATAATCAGTCAGTTCAGCCAAATTAATGCTACACATCCGCTATGATATGACAGAACATCCAAACACTACTTATGAATATATACATACATATATCTATATAGATGTTTTGTTAGCCACCTTATTCTCCCACCAGAAGTGCGTGCTTTTAAATAGCCAGATATTTGAAACAAAAGATACTCAGGGGTATTTCTCTGTCACTTAAATGGTTCTTTCTATAGCCTATACACTCAGCTCTCTGATAATATAGAAGCTGATTCTAACGTAATGAACTACAACAGTACAGTATTGACCATTGCTTTTCAATTCTGAATATGCTAGCCTAGCCTCTGTAGAATGACCAACTTGTAATACCATCACTAACCCTATGAACAAAGCTACCTTCAAAAAAGAATTAATATTTGAAGGTCATAAACATCCTCCATTTGCAGGCCTAGTGCTCCCCAGAACTAAACCAGCAAAAAGTAAAACCCTCTGACGTGCTCTTTCCAACTTCAGAAAAAAATTCTTCTGACAACTTCATGCTGTGATGACACAGACTCATATAAAACAGAGAGAGAAATAATATTTCTGTATGTCAATGGCAACTTAATAGGCATATACTCCTGGAAACAAATTAAGCTCCTCTGGGAGGAAAATGTATTTTCAGAACAAATGAAAAGCAACTGGTCAAAATGAGAAAACATTTGGTTATCTAAAATTAAGTTGCTTCCTTAAGTGACACAATTGAAGGAGATCTTAAAGTTTTCTTAATTACATCAGACTGGAAATCATAACAACCTCCTTCTACATAGGAAATCAAAGATAAAAAATAAAAATTATGTATAGCTCAGTACAACACCTCCAAAGAATTAACTACCTTCTTAACATGGACCCCATTAATACAAAGATTTAGGTTAGAGCAAATCCAACTGATATGAGGTAAGACAGCCATGAAGTGTCATGCTAACATGCTCTTATTCTTTTTTTTAATTCGGGAAGCAGAAAAGGAAATGCATCAGAAATATCAAGGTAGTATCTAAGTTCAGTTGCATTTCAGCTTGAAATCCAAAATGAAAGAGAAGCCTTTGAATTATACACCACCAACATACACCAAAATGAAAAGAAGTATTCCTCATCTAGAAACATACAAATATTGTGTTCAATTAAAAACAGAAAGCAATTCCAGCATGTAAGATGAGAATAAACAAGTACAGAAATAGAGATTAAAGATCTACATATGCATTTTCTACTGTTGATTATGATCAAAGAGGGCAATGTTAGGGAACAGATGACCTCAGTTACTTTATTACTGTAGTGAGCATTTTCAAATATGTTTAAAAATAACAAACATTGTCTAGAAACAGATAATCTTTAAGACAACTTAGACAATCTAATGTGTAAAGTGTTTACAGGTGAATTAACCTGTCCCGCATGAATGAAAAACAGAGTTTCCACTCTGTACACTTAAGGATTCAGATGTATCACTTCTGGAGTTAGTGCAAGTGATTGATTCAGATTTCTCTCTTTCAATTCCTTTCATAAATCTTCACAGGAGCCAGAATGTGGATCAGACTTTAGACTACCCCCTCCGTGAGAGCTAAGACATGTGAACTGAACACAGCTAAACACGGTTTTTAATTTTCAAATTATGCATTCTGACATCACAGAACATAAACCTTTGACATATAAATCCATCTATCAGGTGCTAATCTTGAACTGGAGACAAGGCAGTGGAAAGAACGGTTTATTCCCTTTCTAGCAATCCACCATTTCACAAGGAAAAATCTCAAATTAGTACAGATGATCGGGAAAGCCTAGAGCCATTGGTAAATAATTTCCAAAAGAAAAAGGGAGAAGGAAAGGGTTTTATGGGGTTTCTTAACCTGTATAAAGTAAACACAAGAAACTTGAGCAATGCTTTTTCTCTCTGGACAGCTTCTTTGCAGACGCAAGACATTTATACAATGCATAATGTACTTCGTTCCTCTTTCATAAAGATTTCATAAGTATGTAGCAAAATAAACAGAATGACTGAAGCCTGGGGGAAGTCAGTAAATAGAGCTCATTTCATATGCAAAAACAATAATGAGGAAAGATCAGTTACTGCAGTTCTAATAACAAACAACAGATGGTTCATAACAGAAACTTAAATAACACTGTGTTTCAGGTGAGCAATCCACACAAGGGAATAGAACTTTTCCTCCTACTCCACTAGATTTTCATTTCACTCTGGAAGTACAAAGGAAGTGCAACAGCATCCTGGCCTTCCCCATGGTATTTTCTTGCTGCATATGGGCATTGCAGTGATATAGAATGACTGCAAATGTCCCTAAGCTTCCTCCCTTTCTCAGCAGACACACATAGGGATGCTGGTAGCATCTTTGCAACAAAAAGAGTTCTTGGCATTGAAAGCTAATGAGAATAACTTTGAAAAGTTCTGTGCTGGATACAGTCTAAAGGTATAGTGAACAAAATTCACATACCCTTTGCACCTTTCTATCTTGTCATTGTACTGAAATAAAAGTCAGCCTAAGCTGAGAATAGGGAGTATTTGCCTCAGATTTCCAGCAAGACCAAAACAGTTTGTGGGAATCTAAGTTATATCACAGATTTTCTGCCACATTCTCTCACCTGCCTATTGGCATACTATATATACGATCTTATCTATCTCCGTTTTTTTATATTTGATTTATTGTTGATTCCATGCAAATTTAATGTTCAGAACAGTAGCTACAGCAACAGAAAATTACAAACCTGAGGTGGATAAGAGTTTTGCCTGTTAGGTCTAAAAGCAGTTGAACTATACTATATTGACTAACTATATGCTTAGAGAAAGCAATCCTATGTAAAATTAAAAATACATATCTCTTCAAGGTTGCACATACCAAAGCCTTGATTCAACTTTAAAAAAAATCAAATCTCTCTAAAAGTAGCTAAAGAAACAAAAGACATAATTAGTATTAATGCCCATGTGTCATGCACTATTTCTTTCAAATACATATGAAATCATATTATTAAGCACACTTTGGGCAGGGGGAGAGTCTGGAAGGTTATGGATCTATGAAGCAAGTGTGAGCTTTATAGTCCTAACAAATATATCCTCTAGCTGAGGTCACGAGACAGGAGCCAAGAATTTTTTGCCTGGCTATGCTATAACTGCAATAGAGGTAACCACTGAAAGAACCCAGACTTGGCAGATCCTGCTTACATGTTTATGACCATTCACTTTCTCACCTTTGTTTATGTATACAGTGGTCACAGAAACCTAGCTCTGGCTTCTGAGAATCCCAAGTTCACATAGGATTAGTGGCAGCTTTTTCTGTGGAATCAATTGGTACTAAAATATTGCGAATCATCAGTAGTTTAACTTCTGCGTTACATTCAGTAGTTTATTCTTCAAAATAAGTAATTTCAGACACTTAAAATTCCTCTGTTTTGTAAAAGACCTTGTACAGTTACATTAGACTTCACTGAACTGTGATCTCAAACTTTACCATTATAGCCCAATAGTTGGAAAAAAAATCATAGAATAAAAATTAAACAAAGGCTCCTAAACAAAGGCTCCAAAATACCCACAGCATATTTCTACATTTAATTTCAGACACTTACTAAAGTTTTCATCATCTTATGTTCACACATCCTTGCTTGCAAAGTAATCTTTTCCATCTCTATGTGAAATTATGCTGCTTAAGAATAGAAACAAAAAAACTAAACAAAATGAAGTTAGACACAAAGATGCATAGATAGGCAGGCATAGAACTGCAAATGTGGCTTCCTAGTTCTAGCTGTAGTTCACCTACATGCTAAGAAGCATCAGAGAAAAAATGGGTTCAAATCAACCCATTTGTATTTTCAAATATGAAATAGCCTGTAAATCTGAGCAAGTTACAGATATGCGATTACTAAGTAAAACACGACAAGTATCTGTACATAAAATAAAAACCCAAATAGTGAAATATTTGCAAACAACTGAAGGCATACACACATATAAATATTTTCTCATGCCCCCAAATACAACTATTGTGATAGACATTAACTACTGTGTGTCTCCTGCTAATGAGAAACCATGAAGTTACCTAAAATAGAACACAGCTGCAAATTACATCTTTGTGACCAAAGGGTCACCCTCTCTTTTCGGAGACACACCCCCCCCAATCCCCACCCCCCATGAAGCTGACCTCTCTAGGTGACAAAATAAAAATGGTCTTACATGACTGAACATGGACAACATAACTTAAGAATGCCTCTCAGAGATGGGAAACTTGAAATACTTTATATAATTGGGTTCCAAGAGATCCTGAAAATCACATGAAAACAATAACCACTTAAATGGCTGTCCTAAACAAATTCTTTTGTATCTATTTTTTTTTCCAAGGACAGAAGAACAATGTTTTCTTTCTTTTGGAATGCAACAAACTAAGAGCTGTAAACAAAAAGAAAGTTACCTGCAATTTTACATGTCAAATATATGTTAGTTGCTACATAGTCAAGCATTACCAGCAGACTCTCAATATTTGATGATTTCCTAGGCCTCCACTGAAATGAAGTTGCATTAGATCATAGCTTGAATATGCATATACATAAGAATAATGTTCCTGTGTTAGGAGGGAGTATAATTCACAAACTTTGCATGCATATATCTGGGTCTTTCTTGAGATGAGGATGGAGAAGTGACAAGTGTGTGGCAGTAGCCAGGCTACATTAAATGCTGAGCTACTCAGCATGAGCAGTTTGGGGCACATGGATAAGGCATGGTACATGTAGAAATGCCACCCACACAGGGAAGAAGCTCCCAGTGAGTTTAGGAACATCAAGTGGTGACATCTGAGCAAAGATTTTGCACAACTACAGTACTGACATTAGTTGCTTTCATTTCAGCCAAGCCATCTTCAGATACCTCTATCTTTCAGTGGACAGGGCTCTTACAAATATTTATGAGGTCTGGTGTGATTAACCTGCTTTTGTTTAAAAGAAAGAGACTAAGTAACTCAAATCCTAATTATTTCTTAGACTTTTTTTAGGAATCTTTTCAAAGATCATTAACACAGTTTCTCAACATTGGACATGACAATTAGACAGAGTATTTCAACAGTTAATCAACTGGTGTAAAATAGTAATGAATAAAATTCACACATAATTCCACTCAGATTCTCATAACGGTTTAATTAAGCTTTAAGTGATTTGAAACACTTCAGTTGTTTCCCTTCATAAAAGTAAATTTCACCCCTTCTGAATTCTTGTGTAAGCATACTTCTTAAAAATGCCACATTTAAAAAGCATTATTTCTCCCAACAATTGTTTACAGCTTTATATGAAAGACACGTAATCGGAACAGTTGTTATTCTATAGTACTTCATAATGTCTATGTATTTTGATAGGGTTTTTTTCTACCAAGGTAAGAGGAAAACTGTAACTTAATACCCTGAATATATGCAAAATAAAATGTCTCTTCTGGTATATATCAGTTTTAGCTTGTTATTTCACACCTACTAAAAAGGTTTTCCTGTATATTCGTAAAAGACTGGGATTTGAACTTTTAAACAAAAGATACTTTATTTGGAGAAACCCAGAAGCTTAAGACATAGATATTAGGGTCAACATTCTTACCTATACTTAGATAGAAATCTCTTTAATACAGCAGGAATTTCTGAATAAACACTGCAAGAAGTGGTTCTTTATGAAAAAAAGTACATGATATGACTAATAAGAGTTCTAAATGTGGAATTAAGATATTCTAAGAGTAAGAAAACATCTTTGGACATAATGCAACTGAAGCTTCTTCAATTTTTCTATTCCACAGATTGTGTGAAAATTCCCCATATTCATGTTACAGTAATGCTCTTATTAAAGGTGTGCTTTTACTCAATTCTGAGGAGAAAAAAACAAAACAAAACACAAAAAAGCATCTTTCAGTTCAAGAAGGCAATTAGGTATACATAGAAAACCATTTTAATCACAGTTTTAGGCTACAAATAAGTAATACTACATTCAAGACAGAAAATACTCCCAGCTGAACTATATGATTTGTTAACTAAGTAACACAGAACACTTTCATTTCCTCCCTGAAGGTATTCCAATACCTTTTCCCTAGAATATCCAAACTTAGCTGTGAATTAATTATTCTCAAGATATCTTTAGAAATCCATAGGGTTCCTGTAAAGGCATATACAAACGTATAAGCCAACACGTAAAGAATATAATCTTCAAATTCACTGTTTCTCTGTTGCTGAAAACATTGTCCAACTCATTTCAGGAGTCCATAAAATACTGAAATAATTTGAAAAATAACCTCTGCTGCCTACTAGGATGTCTTAAACTGAAAAGTTTCCTGTTACATTATGAAGACTGTTTTGTACTGTGTATTATAGTTAGCTGACTGCCAAATGCAGATTAAGAAGAATACATACTTCTCTGGATACAGATGCGTATAATGACATGGGAATTCACAGTGCCTCAACACTAACTCTCAAGCAGATTCGCATGTCACTCCCTATTTTCCATTTACAAGAACCTAATTACCAATTCTGATATTAAATCATCAGACATGTGGTAAATGGAAGGCATGACAGCATTATTATATAGAAGCTACAATTCTGCTAAAATCTGTATTACTAGCTTTTAAGAAGCAAACCATTATTTATAACCCTGAAAAAACATATCAATATTTATGACATTATAAGTCTCCATGAAAGCCAGCGCCTACTCTACAGAAGAAAAAAAATATAAAATATTATGTGTATATATATATATTCATATATATGTAGTGTGGGTATATATATATGTATGAATATATATACACACACACACACTCTGTTAGGCAGTCTAATCATTTTGCCAAAATTCCATGGAATGTGTATCACAACATCTGAGTCATCAGGCTCATCTTCATGAACACATCATAAACTCCACTATGTAATTTACATATTCTACTATGCCAACTCATAATAAGTTTTTGGTGTCAGAAAAATATTTTGTGAGGAACTGCAAATGAACTGAAATATAGGTGGCTTCACACTCATTTAAAAGGCTGTTTATTTTTTAAGAAGTTCAAGTAATGTCATTGCTCACAGGAAATTTGAAATTTGGGGGAGGAAATACACTATGAATAGAAAAGTAGTGTGTCCCTACTAGGTTAAATACCAGTCACGCACAGCTGATGGAAAGTTATAAACCACCATCCTCTTCACCGATATGGATTTTTCAGGTAAAACTTTGACAAGTCTGCCAAGCTGCCCCAAGAACATAATACTTACATGGATTCCTCAGAGCACTGAGTAGTAGTATCATAACAGCTGCAGACACTGACCAAGAAAGCCAAAGAAACTGTGGTAGTTAAACACCAAATTTACCTGAGAAACCTGAAAGTTCAGTGCTCCATATGTCACCCTCATAGCATGAAAATAAAACCTTATGTTAACTCTCAAGGATATTTGCATGTATTTGACAGACTATTTTTTTTTCTGCCTATTTGCCAGACTACTTGTCCTCTGACGTGATGACATTTGATGTATTATTATCTAATAAAGCCTCTATCCAAGTCATCTCTCGTATACTGTAGGTGAGAGTTACCTAATGAAAGGATACAAAACAATTTTAAAATTAAAATTTATGTGCACTATTCTATTAAAATTTAATCAAGATATCCCGTTACAGACCTTTAGCATGCACTAGACAGCAGTCAATCTCTTCGTCACCTGCAGAAGAAATGTGTCGGCCTTGAAACAGAAACACAAATGTGTAAATGGAGTGCTCAACTCAATTTGTGCAAAAACACCAGAAGATGACCCAGACTGGACATTATCTTTCAAAAACAGAAAAAATAAATCTGAAGGTTTAGAAAAATCCCCAAAACTCTGACAAACAAAAATTTGATGACTGTACTTTTTGGTTGTTTTTTTTTTTTTAAAGTATATGCTGAAAGTTATACATACAAAACACACATTATTGTCAAAGAAGCTTATTAATGCAAAATAGAGCAAAGGAAACAAACAAACAAAAACCAAACAGAAACAACTACCCGGGCTTTTTCCTCTTGTTATCTTTTTTTTAAGAACAAGCTGTCTACAATTACGGACCGTTCATGTAACAACTGCACAAACCTCAAACAAGTTTAACCTTAGGAATGTCCTGGAGAAAAAAAAATAATTAATATGACTATTTATGCTATTCATAATACTTAATATATGTTGAGGAAATGAATTAGAAATACGTTAAAAAGTTACTTAAAACCAGAAAATTAAGAACTAGCAACAATGTAGAGCTGGTATTTGCACAAATAACTATAATTTCAGAATGGCATTCTGGTAAATTATACCAATTTTTGTCAGACTGCTTATTAATTTTATTAATAATGTCAGACTTTTTTTCATATTGAAAATCATCTATAGGTAATAAACACACAATGGGAAGATCTGTTAAAAGTCTCTTTTCAGAATTTAATCATACTCTCCAAAATAACAAAGAGTAAAAGTTAGTAAACCAGTGAAGAAAAAGAACTAAATTTAAGAGCTTGTATAAAATGGTTAGGCATTTTTTGAATAAATGGAAACTGTGACTAAAAAGAGGTACATAGGAAGGAAAATGGAGAATGTAATTGCCATAATACAGCCCATCAGTGGTCCATCTAGTCCAGGACACTCTCGTCAGAAGCATGCATGAAAAATGCTTAATGAAGCAAACAGAACATGCATAAATCATCAGCTGCCTTCAGCAAATGCTTTATAAAATAGAGCTGACTTTACATCAATAGTATTTAAAAAGGGCATGTGCAGACCCATCTCAAAATACTCAAGAAAAAGTGTGTTCAATTCTGCAATTATCTTTTCTACAAATTTTATATTATGCTTCTTTTGTATTTTGGGAAAAAGCGTATTCCCTAGCACTCCTTGGCATTCAAGCTGAGTCTACTGTTTATTAATATATTTTGTCAGCTTATTTTTAAAACCTTGTCTTGCAACAACTTAGAAACGTAACGAAGTTGAGAGTAGCATCACATGAATTGCTCCTTCGTGAAGACTGAGGTTACTTTCTGCTTTCTCATGAATATTACTTATTTCTGTACCAGTAATTCCACTACTCCTCTTTTTGTTCTAGTCCCTTATGAACACACACATCTCTACTTTATAAAACAGAGGGAATAATTTATGAATTAACATGCAGCTACTGAATCATAATTATAATAATACTGTAGAAAATTACTAAATGCAAAGTTTACCATTAAGACACAAGAACCAATTTAACTACCGGATTCCAGTGGCAGAAGCCAGAGGAAGGACAAGCAGCAAAATTATGGCAATAGAAAGTTCACTGAGAGAGAATTCAAAGCAACAAAAAGTTACTGAAATCGAGATTTTCAAAGTTTTGTAACCAGTCTGTCAGGTCAAAGGGACAGAGAGCAGTAGAACAGTACAATCATTCATCAGAAGCTCATGTCAACATGGTGACACTCCACAAATCTGTGCAAGGGATTGTGTGATACAGAGCACATGCCCTGCTCTTTCTAAGCCTCACATTCCCAGGGGCCCAGCCCCCAAAGTTGCACTCAGCCTTTCACACTTGCCACCTTTTAACCATAACCTTACGTGTGTTCCCAGATTTGCTTCTCATTTGGGGATGTTTTTCACTTTGTTGACTAACTGGTTACTTGGCTTTCATGATTTTGCTCCAGAACCTTATATGGGATCTCTAAGCTAATATAGTCGAGATCTATTTTATATTCTATTTAATACCAAAATACTTGTTTCTAATGGTAACAAAAGCATCACTTGCGACTAGCCCTTATGAGAGTCTATCTGACACTAGCACACAAGACAATTTAAAGAATGATTCAACATTAAAACATAAAAAGGAATTGAAAATATGAAGGCCATTAGACCAAAATCAAAACTCTCATTAAGATAAACATCACTTCCTACTGCTTGCTGAAAAATGATCTTTTCTGATAATATTTTCATTTTCAGGGAAAAAAAAAAAAACTAACAGAGTGAAGATTCTAATTTTTTTCAATTCTAATTATCAATTAAATTTTCAATTATTTTACACAGTTTACACAATCATTTTGAATATAAGTGGCTATTTTGTCTTCAGTGGCCAAGAACTGGAGAAAGAGGAAACTTGGTTATTTGCATGACAGATGTCTAAATGCTATACCATGCACTAAATGTTGGTCTCCTTTCCTCAGATACTTAACAGTATCTCCTCTTTTATGATTGTCACTCAGTTGATCTAGCATTATATTACTGTGGCCATTCAGTTTCACAACTGGCTCATCAAAGGAGGTGATGGGCCTCTTCAGGCCTATTATAAACTGTGTTTGGTGAATGATGTGTGCCAGCTGGGGGTATTGCCTTGCTGCATGGGAAGGCAGCATCCTTAACTCATGGACAGCTGAATTTTGATATGACATTATGAGATGGACTGAATGAGTTCTTTGTTGATATACCAGGAAGTCAGGAAGGAAAATTGATCTATTTTTTAAACAAACCATTCCCTCACTAGAAACTGCCTGTGCAGCACCTTCTCTAAACAAAATGGGATTTATTCTCAAAAGCAAAGAAACTGGGGTTCTAGTCTACAGCAAGTAGTATCCAGTTAGTCTCATATGCCTAATGGGTAAAAGTATGTGAAAAATATAAGATCCACAGTAAGAAAATTTTGCAATTTCCTTTTATTCAGACCTAACTTCAATTTCATACTTATGTGACAAAAGTCTATGTTTGCAGTTAGAGTGAAATACCACTGTATGTGTTCTACCACATAATTCTGACAGAAAAGTCTTTTTGTATTACAGTTTTCGAGTCCAGCCCTGAAAAACTGCTTTAATTTGTGTGGGTTTCCCCCCGCTCCCCCCATCCACTCTCAGAAAAATTAAAAAAATAAAAAATAAAAAAAATCAGAAGCTTACTGTTTGTTACCCTGGTTGCAGTTATCAATGAATAGTTAGTGTGGGACTTCAAACTGTTCTCAAGTGCAATAAATTATGTGATATGCATTGTTCTAATACTTCTGTAGTCCTATTACATACCAGCAATTCTTCATTGTAAAGATCACACAAAAAGAATAATAGATTTTTTTGTAAATGAACACTGCTTTGGTAGCAGTAGGAATCCCAAATTTTAAGTTCACTATTAAAGGAAACCCATTACCATTAACAGCATTTATGTATGTTCTCAGTATGTACTCAATCTACTGAATCCACTCAGAGCAGTTAAGGAATCAGAAAGGGCATTAATACAAAGCCATGTTTTCTTCCTCTTCTGTGCTTTCAGATGTTGTAAGCATAAGAACTGCTAATATCCACACCCAACTTAGGCCACAAATGAATTATGGTTCCACTATCATATGCTATTCAAGAGGGCTAGCAAATGGAAAAGTATTTTTACTTCCTTATTCAAAGTAGGTAATAGGTGGACATAATCTGCATTTCAGACCACATGACAAATCTAGTGCTGATGGCCAGTGTTCATTAATGCACAAATCACAAAACCATATGTTTTCCTTCATGGTCTTGCTCTCTGGTCTCCACTTACTTTTCAGACCTACAAAATGTTCAAAACCATCATTATGCTCATGGGAAAACTGTCACTGGCTAATGATAACAATTTTGTAAGGCTGAAGGAAAAAAACATGTTAGATGATGCTTACACGAATGAAGGAATTTCACAGTATGCTAGAGATTGGAAGGGACCTCAAAAGATCATCTAGTCCAATCCCCCTGCCGGAGCAGGAACACCTAGATAATGTTACACAGGAATGTGTCCAGGCGGGTTTTGAATGTCTCCAGGGAAGGAGCACAACCTCCCTGGGCACCAGTGTTCCTCACTGAGAAGAAGTTCCTTCTCAAGTTTAAGTGGAACCTCTTGTGTTCCAGTTTGTACCCATTACCCCTTGTCCTATCATTGTTTGCCACTGAATAGAGCCTGGCTCCATCCTCGTGACATTCCCCCTTTATATATTTATAGACACTAATAAGGTCACCCCTCAGTCTCCTCTTCTCCAAACTATAGAGACCCAGCTCCCTCAGTCTTTCCTCATAAGGGAGATGCTCCACTCCCTTCATCATCTTAGTTGCCCTGCGCTGGACTCTCTCCAGCAGCTCCCTGTCCTTCTTGAACTGAGGGGCCCAGAACTGGACACAATATTCCAGATGGGGTCTCACCAGGGCAGAGTAGAGGGGAAGGAGGACCTCTCTTAACCACCCCCCTTCTAATACACCCCAGGATGCCATTGGCCTTCTTAGCCACAAGGGCACAGTGTTGGCTCATGGTCATCCTGTCGTCCACTATGTATAGACAGGCAAAACCAGTCTTACAAGGAATGGTAAAGTTACTTGGCCTGGCACCACTAGCACAAAGAACTAACCAAATTTAATGGGATCTTGTTCATTATAATGAGCTTCAGCTAATTCCATCCTTCAGAAACCTTCATTTATCTAACTTACAAAGGATATGTTAAACAAAGGCACTTCACAATATTAGTGCAATTTACATCAAATGCACTAGAGAAAATTGCCTAATACAATTTTCTAAACCATTTAGTATTATGAACTAGGAACTAAAAGAGAAAATTACATTTTATGATTTGTAGGCTACTGAAAACACTCTGCACCTGAATTCACACAATCTGCATCTCCTTGCTATTCTCTCAGTGGTAAAAGACCTTAATAAAACAGAGAACCAGAAATAATATTCTGTGAATTAAGCAGAAAAAAATATGCT